ATATTAATATTTATAAGCTTATGACTTTCCAAGCCTTGGTAAATACTAGATTAAATAAGATTTGCTGTGTGTGTGTGTGCAGTTTGTTTTTGCATTTTCATAAAAACATGTTTGCCAAATGCTTGATATATTCAAGTTTCTCTAGTGATAAACTGAGATGAAAAATTAACAGATACTGTTGGTAACCTAGGAAATATTTATCTGTCTATACAGTTGTACAGTGTCATGTCAAAATTTAACATTGTAACAAATGATTTGAGTAATTAAATGAATTGTTTAAAAACTGCTTATTTTTTTCCCTCAGGGTATCTAGAAACAAATCTGAAAAGAAACGTAGAGATCAATTTAATGTTCTCATTAAAGAGCTGGGATCCATGCTTCCTGGAAATGCTAGAAAGATGGATAAATCTACTGTTTTGCAGAAGAGTATTGACTTTTTGCGAAAACATAGAGGTGAATATTTTTTTTTGTAAGACTCTTCCTATAGAATCTTGGCACAGATTCATAGAATTGAATATTTCCTCAACTTTTTTTTTAAGAGAGAAACCATTTGCCTTTTACAGAAGTTTCTTGGTACAATCTTTGTTTCATTCAACAAACATTTAGTTAGTGCCTTCTATAGTCCAGATCTGTGTGGTGCAGGATAATGCTCTTAGCCTTTATACAACCCAAGCTGGGGGAGACAAGCATGCAAACAGATAGTTATAGTACAAATAATTATGAAGTTGTTGATGCTTGTAAATTGTGACCTTGCAGTGGGAACACAGAGGCAAAGAACAGGTCAGGGATGGCTTAAAATAGTTTATTTTGGGGCAAGGGCTATACTGCAGCAGGGCAGCACCTTCCTGGCAAGCATGAGGTCCTGAGCTCAGTTCCCTACACTAAAAAAGAAAGTTCATTTCAACAGTCTTTCTTTTAGATTAAACAAAATAGCATTTCACACAAAGGAGAGAACATGTTCAAATGCAGAGACACAGGGGACTTGTATCTGGAACATATTCATGTTGGAAAGTTAGGGGTATATTTGAAAGAAAACAGCCAGATGATGTTAGGACTTTATATGTCACTTCAAAAAGTTATTTAGATTTATATATAGGAAATAAAATACTTTTAAAGTACTTGTTCTTCAAAGGAAATCACCTTGACCCAGTCGAGGGTCATGAAAATATAAAGGCAGTTAGAGGCATAGCTCAGTAGTGGAGTGCTTACCTGACATGCCCAAGGCATAGGGAAAGAAAGAAAATGTAGAGACTATGAAGTGGTTCAGTGGCAGAGATACTAGATTTTAGGAATATATAAAAGGAGATTTCCTTTTTCAGATGCAAATAGAATCACAGAATATTTCTAGAGGACAGTTAGTAGGAAGTGCCTCTTTGTGTCTCCCCAGCTCGCTGGGTAATACATTCCTAGACTGTTTATGTTCTGCCATTCTTTGAAATTTTGAAGTTCTTTTTCAAAATTGTTTTGAATTCTCTTTGAAATTGAAAATTTCAGTTGAAATTTTGAAAAATTTTTCCCACTTTAATGATACCACTTACCCATTCCCTATAAAGCAAAAAGTTTTTATCTTGTAGCTCAACCTAATGTTCATCTCTGTGGAACTGGAAATTTGGTTCATCCTGCATTGGCTTGCTTCCATTAAATTGTGTCACTTTCCCCTTTCTCAAATGAAATTGTCTTCTTCTTTCTTTATATATTCTCTAAATGTGACATTTCTCTAGGGCTTATTCTTGTGTTTTTGATCTCTACTATTTCACTTGGTTATTTTATTCTGTGACTTCAGCTTTTGTGTCTCTGTTAAACTACCATTGCTTTATCTTCAGAGAGAAAAATTTCAGCTTTGTATTTATAGATACTTCTTTTGCCTGTCCCTGCAAAGTCAATGCGTCTAAAACTGAACTCATTTTCATTTTGTCCAGTCACTTACCATTTTATTGCCACCACTGTCATTACATTTTACCTTCAAAATTATTTTCAGAAACCTCAACACCTCTTATTAGAAGTCACATTCCAAAAAAAAAAAAAAGAAGTCACATTCCCCTAAATCAATGAATGCTTTAACATTGTAGGAGTTGAATAAATGATTGTTGAATGGATATTTCTCCCTAAAAATAGAGGGTTAATTTTTGTATTAAGTGTATTTGTTTTTCAAAATTGGATATAAAACTCTCACAAAGTAAAATTTATATTAAAAGGGATTTCTTAAATACTATTTTAAAGTAGGCCTGTTTAACTAAACTTGATTGGTCTTTGCTTCTGGGGGGATTTTGTGATTTTTTTTTTTTAATTTTATGTGTTTTGTACAGGGTCTCACTACACAGCTCAGAGTCATAGTGATGCTACTGTTTCACCCTTCCTGGGACTATAGGGATGTGCCACCACAGCAGGTCTTGATGGCCGGGTTGGCTTGGCGTGCCAGAGGCAGAGCCAGCCCAGCATGTGGTATCAGGGATCAAACCCACCTCCTTGCGCTTGCCTAGGCAGGCACTTAGACTGCTGAGCTATCTCCATGGCCCTGGTCTTTCCTTCTAGATTTAAATCATTTTTCCTAAATGTGTATAAATTTTAAAAACATGACTAGTCCACCACAAATCAGCAGCTATACTTTTTAATTATTTTCATGTTACAGCATAGGCATTTATAATACAAGTTTTTCAGTGACAATTTAATATGCTATCTTTGTATATCTGATAAAAAATCAGCAGAGTTCATACTTTTTATTGCAAAATAAAGTATGCTGTATAGAGTGTAACCTAAGTCATAAATTTTTATTCTGCTTAGTTGTAATATGTCTGCATTTCAAAATAGGAAAACATTTGTTACCTAAACAATTCAGATTGTATTATTTATAAATAACTTTCTTCACTAGATCTATGAGAATTATATGGCAAAATAAAATAGTAATAATTCTGATAAAATGTATGCCCCATGCCACATCTCCAAATTTTGGACCAGCTTCCTACCACTAAGAACATGTAGAAGGATACTGAATAAGTCGTTTGGGCATATTACTTTGGGCATATGAAGTTTTTGCTCAGAATTTTAATTTTGTCTCCCTAATTAATTAAAAGTAAGATTGGGAGGAATTCTTTTACTTATCTTATCCTGCAGACTCACAGCTTTCTTACTAGATATCACCATTTGAACGGAATAATCTTTATTTAATCTGCTTGTTCTTACTAGTGTCTCTAGGAAGCAGTCTCAGGTTTATGAGCCATGAAAAGCATTAAATATGGAAGCTTCATAGAGGATGGGGGAGGAAGAATATTTTTTTCTTTTTTTAAAATATTTTTATTGAGAAATAGCAAAGAGACAGCTTCACAACTGATTACTAGTACATTTTCAATAATTAATACATTGCATATTATTTTCTTAGTGGTTATTCATTGTACAAGATGCAGACCTGAAATCCTGTCTCAAACACTATTAGAACAAACCTCTCTATTCATTAAATTAAGAGAATGGAGCTGTATATCTATCCTAACTATTTTGAGTATACAGATACAAAATGGTCATTCATTTGCATCCCCCTTTTTTGGTTAGTTTTGTCAGAGAAGGGCATTCCATTGTCATTTAAATACTGTAGGTACATGAATTCAGCAAAATATCTCAATATAGTCCAATAGTCCAATAATAGTAGTGGATTTTCCATAAGACTGTCAATGTCCAAAGTTGTTGATTTGAGCATTTTACAACTCATCATATTAATATGGCTTTACTTTTTATACTTTATTTTCATACTTTTCTGCTGGATGGTTAAGACCAAGATAAAGCAAGATGTATATAACAAGAAACGTAACTTTTGTATTTGACAAGGTCAGTCAAATCCCCTCAGGGATTTGTTCTAATGGTGTTTGTAAATAGGATATCATGTCCACATCTTGTACACCAATTAACCAATAGGAAGAATGTATGCAATATGTGAATTATTGAAACTGTCCTACCAATTTGATTTGAAACTGTCTCATTGCTGTTTGTTTATCAATAAAATTATGGAGGAAAAAAAAATCCCCTGAGGATTTAACCTCAAACCCTATACCTCAGTTTGTAGACCCTTTGTCAGTGTCAGCCATATGCATGAGTCATGGCCATTGCTTGACAAATTTGCTCTCTGTGAAAGCTTGAGAGAATGTTTTCTCTCCATGACTCTCCTTAGGCACATGCTACATCATCGATGACTTTCCTCTGTGACCCCAAATTCTCCTTGATCAGAAAATTTGGGGCACAATTGAGTTACAGGATGTTACAGTACAGGTTCTCTTATTTCCTGAGTCCTTAATGACCTTGAAAGGCTAGGGCCAAAACGTTGGCTGTCCTTGTAGCCCTTCTTTTTCTTTAATTTTTGGTCTGCAAACTTAAGTTGTTAACCCTCCAGAAGAGAAGTTTAATGATACTATTATCCTATAACATAGGCACTTGAGCTTAACCTTACTATTTGTCTGAATATCAAACATCTTAGACATAACATAAAACAGGTATTTTCCATCAAGTATTGATATGTTAAACTTTGAGTCCGGGGAGGAAGAATATTACCAAGAGGCCAAATCTTATTTTATTTCTTTTTGTGGTACTAGAGATTGATTTGGGGACTTTGTGCTTGCCAAGCAGGTGCTTATGCCATTGAGCTATCTCCCTGGCCCCAAGAGGCCAAATCTAAAGAGATAGCTTCCTATATAAACTCAAATATTTCCTCATATCAAACAGCATCTGGTGTCTTTTTTTTTTTTTTTTTTTTTTTTTTTTTTTTTAGGGGAGGGTCTACAGGATGTTCAGGGTCTCACTACTAGATCTGACTCGTAGTGATCTGCCTGTTTACAGCCTCCCAAGAGCTGGGATTGCAGGCGTGTGCCACCACACCCAGTCTCAATTGCCATCTCAGTGTGCTCCCGGGGTAGGCTGGCACAGCAGGCTGAGGGATCGAACCTCCGGCCCCTGTGCCTGCTTGTAGGCAGCACCTGGTGTCTTGCTATGTAAACCAATCAACTTTAGTCCCTGTCATTCTTATCTTTAACATGAAGGGAAAGACAGCAATTTGCAGGATTTTTGTGCTCTCCCACTGGTTGGAGTATACCACTAATGTGTCAATCTATTTACAGAAATCACTGCACAGTCAGATGCTAGTGAAATTCGACAGGACTGGAAACCTACATTCCTTAGTAATGAAGAGTTTACACAGTTAATGTTAGAGGTATGTCCAGATTTAATTTTTGAAAATTCTCTTTTCCTCAAAAAAGAAATCTCAGGAGCATGGTTAATTTTAGCGTGATTATAGCAGTAGTATTAATATGGGAGTCTTTAATTAAAATGAAAATGTAATAAGCTATGTATATGTTCCATTAATACTGATCAGAGTATTGTAAGCTTATGATACTATGTAATAAAGTAGCTCTAAATTTTCATATTTTTAGTATTTGAATCTTTTGATGTGTTTACTAAAAGTAAAAAAATTGTATCTACTGGGTTCTCCACTTGAGACTATACCAACTACTTCTAACAAAAAATAGAATACATTTTTACATGTTAGATATTATTAAATATATCTATTTCAGTCCATATGAGCTGCAATAAACTGTATAGCTTGTGAAAAATTTATTTCTCATAGTTCTAAAGGCTAGAAAATCTTTAAGATCAAGGCACCAGAAGAATTCATGTCTGGTGAGAGTTCTTGAGTCCTGGTTCATGAATAGTCATAGTGTGATGGTATCCTTGTGCGGCAGAAGGGCAGAAGAGCTTCCTGTGCCCTCTTTCATAAGGACACTAGTCCTCTTTAGGAGGGTTCCACCCTCATTGCTCAGTCATCTCCCGAAGGGCCCACCTGCAAATATAGTCACATTGGGGATTAAGTTTCAACACAAGATTTTACAAAGAGACACTCAATATACAATAGGTTATTTTTTTAATGATATATTAAATATGCCTAAAATAAAAATAACAAGTATTTGGAAAATCTAAAAGTGAAATATACTTTGAAAGGTAGCTGTTCTTTAGACGATTTTAAAAGGAAGTGAGCAGATGTTCTTCTGTGACCAAATTATTTTTAAAAAATGATTGAGACTTTTTTGTTATTGCAGAAGTGGTACTATCTTATACAACTTATTAAAAATTCACAAATTTTGAATCACTCTTATGAATTTTACTTCTGTACTTTTTTTTCCTATACACAATAACACAGGTCTCATCTGTATATATAAAGTATGCAGAGTTTAGTATCAAATTTCCATGTAAATTTATAATAGGAAATGGGTAGCTTATTTTGGAGGTAACATTTAAGGTCAAGAAAAATAGGTATATAAAAGAGAGTAGACATGGAAAGATTACAAGACTGTAGTTGAGATGAAGAATATAGAGATTACTCATTACTATATATTGGTCTCCATCTTGTCTGACTTTATTATTTTAGTCTTCAAGCATTCAACTATTATGTGTATATATATATATATATATATATGATACATATATAATGACTGTGTCTCAGATTATCTTTGTATGTCTACTGTCTTTCTGTGTCTGAAGCCAGGTAGTCTTTATGCAAAGTAATGAGGTATTTTTCTGTTTATACTTTTAAGTAGAACAGCTGGATAAGTACATGTGTTTTCAGCAAAAACATTAACAAATGCAAATTTGTTAAGAGTATAACTATATTTTAAATATCTAATCATATACTTTAAAACCGAAATACTGAGGAGTTTTCGTGTATTAATGAACTCAATGAATCCTCACAACCATATTAGAAAGTAATTAATCACTGGTATCTGTGTGTTAATAATAAACAGTGTTGGGCTTTAGTACTTCTTACTTCAACATATAGAAATCAAGGAACAGAGGCGTTATGAAACTTGCCCAGAGTGACACAGCTTGTAAGTGGCTCAGTGGAATTCGTTATAGGGCAACTGGTTTCTGATCTCATTCCTGCAGCTCCTGTACATGCTGCCTCTTACCCAATTTTTCTTTTTAGTGAAAATTAGACAGGCATAGTTACTTGGCAAGGGAGATACCATGATCATGAAAGTTAGACAGGCAAGAAACTTGTAGCTCTGTGATAAACTATTAGTTCTTTAAATTAATGGGTTATTTCCTCTAAAAGTGTTTTGATATTAACAGAAGTATTTGTTTAGGTACAAGTAATGTGAAAAAGTCTACACAAATTAATGTCTACAACAAAGAAAAGAACATCCAATTTTTATTTTTATTGTATAATATTCTCAGTGCAGTGGTTTAATAAGATCGTCTGTGTTAATAAAAATGCTCTTGTTTTATTGGTAAGAAAAAATTCTCATAAATTAAAAAAATTGTGTAATACCTGTTTTCATTTATAACCTTATGTAGGTAAGTTACCTTCTTATGAATAAGCTGAACAGAAAAATGTTATCTTCAAAATTTTCTTCATAATGTAAATATTTTCATTAATCAACAAAGCCCATGTACATAAGTATCAAGAAGAAAAATGAATGAAAGTTTCTAGAGATGACATTTTAAATTCTTAAAAAATTTGAAAATATTTTTTCATGAATACTCATAGATTTTAAGTTTGCATTCCTAAAAATGCTCTATGTGTGTGTGTGTGTGTGTGTGTGTGTGTTGCTGGAAATCAAACCCAGGGTCTTGTGCATGTAAGGCAAGAACTCTGCCACTGACCCATATGCCCAGCCCTGATTGCACTTATTTTTAATGTCAAGGTTTTTTATTTATTTTATAACTACTACATATACAACCTGACATATGTTAAGATTTATGTGTACTTGTGTACATAAGATTTATGTGTACATATTCCATGCTGAGTCCAAATATTTTCTCACATTTGATTTTACATGCTTAAAGTCTTTCCAAATTGCTGATTAAATATGGAAAAAAATGATTCACAAATAGAACTGGTTTTGTTTGGGTGAAATTCATTTGGGTAGAGCATAACCTAGTTGTGATTTATGTGGTTAATTACACTGATTAGATTACAAATAAGCAGAATACATACCATTTTCAGCAGATTTTCTGATGTAGGCTGTATCTTTGAATGTTAGAACAGCTACCGACAAGTAGAAGGGATTAGATTATTTGGCTCAAACTTAATTGTAATGTAAAAAAGTTGTTTCTCCATTGTCCGATAGATAATTAATGGAAGAACTAAAACCAAGGTCTTAAAATTCACTTACAACTTATATGTTGGCTATCTGTAGTCTTCCATTGCCCCACCATCACTACCTTGCATCTGTTGCCTAAGGAACTCTTGGAAGACTAGGAATAAAGACTAGGAATAAGCAGGACATTTGGAGGAGTTTGACCTAATCAGATCTTTCTAAAGTCATCTGTATGTGAAGTCATCTTCTTTTTTTAATTTATTTTTTAATTGAGAAGTAAATATGAATGAGACAGTTTCAAAGCTGATTAATAGGACAGTTTCAATAATCAATACATTGTACATTGGTATCTTCTTAGTGGTTACCCATAGTATAAGAAGCAGACAGGATATCCTATCCTGTCCAAGCACTATTAATACACCTCTTTCTTCTCATTGAATTGAGCAAAAGTAGCTGTATATTTATTCTTACTATTTTGTATATATAAATGCAAAATGATCTTTCCTTTGTATCTTTTTTTTTTTTGTGTGTGTGTGTGTGTCCTGTCAGAGGTGGATATTCTATTGGCATCTAAATACTATAGTTGTTTGAATTCAACTAAACAATCCAACACTATCTAGCAGTCTATAATATTAGTAGGTTATCCTCAGAAGTTATTGACTTGAGCCTTTTACAGCTCATTGTATTAATATGGCTTTACTTTATATACCTCGTTTTTATACTTTTCTGCTGGATGGTTAAGACCAAGATAAAGCAAGACCTATATGACAAGAAATTTAACTTTTATATCTGATAAGGTCAGTCAGGTACTCCCAGGATTTATCCTGTAGCCCTGTAGATCCTTTGTCAGTGTCAGCCATGAGGATGAGTCACAGCCATTGGTTGACCAATTTGCTCTGTGTGAAAGCCTGAGAGAATGTTTTTTCTCTCCATGTGACTCTCCCCAGGCACACTCTACATCATCAATCACATTCCTCTGTGGCTCCATAATCTCCTTGATCAGAAAATTTGGAGCACAACTGAGTTACATGTTGTTACAGTACAGGTTCTCCTATGTCCTGAGTCTTCACTGACCTTGAACTTTACGTCCTTACAGAATATGAAGAAAAAATAATCTTATAAAAGTAGAAATAAGCATTAACATATTTTTACAAAGAAATTTAGAAATCTAACCATACACAGAATTGTAACAGGATAGACCTGTGCCATTGTTTTTGCTTATTTTTATGTCTTTTTTTTTTCAATTTATTACCCTTTAAAAGAAAAAAAAAAGCCTTTACTAGAGAGACATTATGGCAATAAATGGTATGTCATGACAAGAAGTACATATTTAGAAGACCAGGATGGCAGGCACTCTAAGCATGACCCTTCTATTACACATCGCCATCCTCAGTGCAGCTGCCTGGCTCACAGGCACCATCATAGACAGTTAGTCAGGGTAAGAATCTCACCAGCCAACTGCTAGTCTCAAAAACCTTCTGATGTACCCCAGGATCACTGCCCCACCCATCTCATGCATAAAAATGTATGGCTTTGCCCCTGTCACGTTTCCCAGCTTTTCTCCTTGTCCACTCCTCATTGTCCAATCCTCAATTTCTTGCTTTCCTTTTATTTGTGTTGTAACTTTCTATATGTAATTCCTCTTTTAAGTTCGTATACTAGGGAGACAATATCATATTTCCACATGTGGGTCTGGTTTATTTCACTTATATCTTCAAGTGGCATCCACTTTAATATGAAGGCTTCGAGTTTATCATTCTTTATAGCTGAGTAATACTCTGTTACATAAAAGTACCACATCTTTTTCAACCGTTCCACATGTGACGGGCATCTTGGTTGTTTCCAAGATCTGGCTATCACAAGTTGTGCTGCTATAAACATAGGCACACGTATATCCCTATGAAATGATGTTTTCAGATCCTCAGGGAAAATTCCCAGTAGAGGAATAGCTGGTTTAAATGGGATTTCCAGTCCAACTTTTCTAAGGAGTCTCCACACTGATTTCCATAACAGTTGCACCAGTCTATACTTCCACCAACAGTGGAGAAGGGTTCCCCTTTCCCCACAGCCTCTCTAACATTTGTTGTTGATTGATTTCTTTATGATAGCCATTCTTTCTGGAGTGAGAAAGTCATCCTCTTGTAGCTCAAAGCTTTCCAGTAATCCACACAGGATGGCGTGGTATTATATGTTAGCCTCATCCTTGCTGGAAATTTACGAAGAACTTCTCTCCCTGTCCCTAGAACTTCTGTTGCAGGCTTCCCTAGACTAAATAGTTACAGTGGGTAAGATGTGAATTCAAGGAATTTTAAGCAATGAACCCTTTGGCCTTAGTCATAGAATGGGGGGGGGGGCAAGATAAGATTCAATCTTCAGATGAGGAGGTTGTTCTCTTTCTTATTCTTTCACATCTCTCTAAATCATCCTCTTTAAGGCACTTTTAGTTTTTGGTATTAGTTTTTTTTACCACCTACCTTCATGGAAAATTATATCCCTATATTCAAAATATGTCTTCTGCCCTCATTCTTTTTTTATATCAAGACTTTGGCAAGATGCTGTTGGAAACTTTTCTACTTATTCTCTGCCTGCTTTGAAAGAGGGGGAAAGTAGGCTTTAGAAGTAGAAGTAGGATTAAGTTATTTATAGAGTTTTACTTTCATTTTTTTTTTCACAGAAGAGAACTTTACTTTGCTTTCTAAGCTGTATTTAAAGTGGTATGACTTAGCTTCATATGAGAAAAACATTTTTCTTAATATTTTTGCCCTATTGAAAGTAGTAGTAGTAGTAGTAATAAATGAATAACACTGGTATCATATTAGTTTTTGTTTTAATAATTCATGAATTGGCTTACATTCTAAGATTTCTAACCACTCTACACCCCAAGTAACTAGAATTGGGTAATAGGCATCTCCTCAGTATGAGTTCTTTCTACTGTCTACCACTGTTGGAGTTGACAGTTTCTGCATATTAAATATTTATTTAGAATTAGAGAAATGTTGTTTTCACTTCCAGGACCCTAATTTATATACTACAGTACTTTTTATCACACATAGATTAGCTGTTTCAGATACCAGGATGACTAAGATACACATAGATCTACCAAAGGTTGCTCTTCTGACAGAAAGTATAGTTAAATGAGAAATTATTATCAGCTTCTCCCTGGACCTTCTTTTAGCCAGCATTTGTTGTGTTGTTGTTGTTGAATGCATTCCTTGATATCTGGTCACCTTAAAACTGTTGGGCTTTCTTCCTTTCTCAAGTGCGTGAATGAGTGGGTTATGATAGCTTTTGGTCATCTACTCATTGTAAACACTTTGCAGTTTGAATCACCTTCCTATTGATTAACTGTTCTAAAATCCACCAAAAGTTGTTTCTTATTTTGTTTCTTGTCCTATTTGACTAAATATACTAAATTATCCTTCTCACCAGCCTTGTCGTATCCTCTTCCATTTCCTTCTTAGCAACAGTATATTCTGTCTTCTCCAGTTTTCTTATTATCCCTATATGGAGGTCATTCTTCCAAGGATTGTTTATCTTTCACATACTGCTTCTCTGTTTAGAAGTTATTTTTCCAACTGTAGCTTGGGTGCCTAGGGTTCTCAAAAACACTTTGAAAAGTATGAAGTATAGGGTTGCTTTATTATTAAGCCATGTATCCCTTGCTCCAGTATCTGCTTTGAAGATATTTGTATTTCTCAGTGCTTTAGTAATTCTTTCCGTCTTTCCTATTGCTGCTAATTAATTCACATTTTAAAAATTTCCATAATTATCCCAAAGGCTATTGAGACTTTTCTGACTCATTTTTTTGTTCTTTCTAAATATACTTTATATACTTCAAGACTATTCTCATTGCAGTTCGGCTCCCTGTCCTAAAATCTACTGGCTTCCTGCTGTGTAGAGAAGAAATCCTTTAAGTTTTTGTTTTGTTTTGTTCTGTTTTGTTTTGTTTTGTTTTGTATTTGTAGGGAAGGGCCTACAAAGGTGTTCAGAGTCTTACTTACTAGATCGTACTCATAGCGATCTGCCTGTGTACAGCCTCCCAAGACCTGGGATTACAGGCGCGCGCCACCACGCCCAGTCTCAGTTGCCATCTCAGTGCAACCCAGGGGTGGGGCCTGCACAGCAGGCCCAGGGATCGAACTCCCAGCCCCTGCACCTGCCTGTAGGCACTTTAATCCACTGAGCTATTGGCCAGTCCTCTTTTATTTTTTAAGAGCTGAATATATTTATTGTGGGAAAGAACACTTCTATTCAAGAGAAAGACAGAAGGGATCCAGGTGGGTTGCCAACGAATCTGTCTTTTGTAGGGCTTTTTATAGAGCAAAACTGTGAAGTGAAGCAGATCTAAGATGGGGGAATATGGGAACTCACAAGGTCAGCATGAGGTGGGATGAAACTATGGTCAACCAGTAAGATTAGAAGCACAATTGCTTAAGTTAAATTGATTAAATCAGGATCAAATGGGGAGGCGAGCCATGTAGCAAGAAGGCATGAATATGGAACAGGGTCTCTTCCTGTAGGGGGTTGAGTTAGTGACTCTTCCGGAAAGACTTTCAAGTTTTAACCTGGTATTCAGGGCCTTTCCTGCTATGGTCACAGCCTAGTTTTTCCACTTCCGTTCCTATCACTCCCTTCACTTTATTCCTTATGTCTCTCCTTAGCCTTCCATCAGACATTTGTGTGTTAACAAATGCAAAATAATAATACAACAGTATGTTCTTTTGTTTGCTTGAGACATTCTTGGTAGTGTGTGTGCTTTAGAAATATTAGCATTGGGCTGGGGAGATGGCTTAGTGGAATAAGCACTTCCCTGGCAAGCACAAGGGCCTGAGTTCAATCCCTGGTTCTGGGAAAAAAAAAAAAAAAAAAAAAAAAAAAAAAAAAAAAAAAGATAGATTTGATTGATTGATTAGCATCTTTAAGCCATACTGTATATATGGTTGGGTTTTATAGTATACATGGCAATAAAGATAGAACATTAAGTCCGTATCTTTAGAAACCAGCTATCCAACAGGAAGCTAGGAAATAACTTTGTACCAGAGTGATCTTCTCCCTAGAAGCACTTAAAAATGCACAATCTTGTCTTTTTTCTTGTTTCTGTCCTGTGAAATACTTTTTTTTCATTTAACTGACCATTATGTTTAATTTCAGGCTCTTGATGGTTTTTTTTTAGCAATCATGACAGATGGAAGTATAATATATGTGTCTGAGAGTGTAACTTCGTTACTTGAACATTTACCAGTAAGTATAAAAATTCTGTAATATTTTTGTTCTCTTTTTTTTTTTTTTTTTTTTTTTTTTTTGTCCAAATGCCTTCAGGGCATATTTGGGGGGATCGAACCACAGCAACCTGAGCCTGACAGCTTTATTGAAGCAGCCACTTAAAGAACTGAGCTAAGGGGCAGGCCCCCATATTTTTGTTCTTTAATGTCTGCTTTAAATCTTTTAAAGCACTAGGAAGTGGACCTTGTACAATGTTGAACAATACACAAAGAGATGAAAGCTCACAAGTATGTCTTTGCTTTTAGTGATTAGTTGTGACTACTTAATAGTCAGCTACCCTTAAAGAACCTTTTGTTCTCCCCTTCTGTATTCTAATGCTAGCTTTTTAGTGTTTCCTTATTAATTGGTTTCATGAAGGTGTTACAACCCAGCATATCAAATTTCTACAAAATACTTGTTGCAGGTAGGAGAACTCATACATAATTTCCTCAAAAGAATGAATTATATTAACACTAAAGTAATCAATGCAGAATTTGAATCAATTGTATGAAAATGGATGTACCTTGAGACCATAGTGTTAAGTGAAATATATCAGACACACAAGCTTAACTATCACTTGGTTTATCTTGTGTGAGAAAAAGAAAAATGGGGAAAAAAAAAAGGAATCAAGAATAGAGAAATTTGGGCTGGGGAGATGGCTCAGTGGTCTAAAGCACCTACTTAGAACAAGCTTAGCAAAGCACAGGGACCGC